AGCACAAAGTGAGTGGATTCCACTGGTAGCAGGGAAAACATCCCAACCTTCCCTCAGTTTGGAGTAATTTGAATAAGAGGCTCCTGAAAATCCCCAACAGCCCCCTTTAGAATATGACTAGTATAGGTCATTGCAAGTGAGTCTTTCAGATGACATCTTAAAAACAGAAGTGCAGTGAATGGCCCTCTGCAGAGAATGGCCCTTAAGGAGTTCAAGACATTTTTTCGTAAGGTAGTGGTTTGCTCAGATGTCCCTGGCCAAAAATTTCCCTTCTCCACACTATCGTGCAGCATGCAGGCTCCCTTCCTCTAATCTACATGTAACTGAATTTCAATCAGGAAACGACTCGTGTGTGTACTGCATATACTGTATAAGGCCAGATCCTCAGCTGGTGTAAGTCTGCAGAGTTCCATTGAAGTCATTAACAGGAACTACAATTAGTGACTTCAGTGGAGCTACACCCATTTATACTACATGAGGATCTGGCCCATAGTCTGGAAAGTGCTTTAGGATATAAAAAATTAGTTTTATTATTAGTTTAACAGGCACCACCTGTAGAAGGAAAATAGCTCCCCCTAGGCATCCCACACCCTCCCTCAGCCTGATATGCAAAGGTGCAGCTCAGATTTTTAAGTGCTATTCTAGTCTGTTCAGGTTCTTGCACTGCCCTCAGCACTGTTGTATCTGAGCACCTTCCCGTAGTAGGTTAAGCAACATGACTAACCTCTGTCACATGGGTCTTATTCCAGCTCTTATCTTCCCCACAGGGAGTAAATTGTGTGTACAGAGAATTGTTTTGTTTCGGTGGTGGGATCTGGGGGGAAAAGGAGGAGTGTTGACATCACACTTCTATGGGCAGGTAGGGTTCTCCCTTCTACTGGTAGGGAAAGTTTGACAACCCGAATATGGCAGGACTGGGCCCATATGTTACATCGGTTTACAAGCTTCATAAAAAATATGTACTAGTAAAAATGACACAGTTGCCTCTTACTAAGAGGAGAGATTTGAGATGACCTTCCCTGAACGGAACTGTAAAGTCCATCACATCATACCTCTTTTGTGATGCCTACAAGAAATCAGGCAACTACAGCTGGCCAGGGAGACAATATTTATTTTAAAAAGCAAAAACAAACAAAAAACCCATTCAGATGATTCAGAACTATCCAACTGTGCACACAGGGCATGCTCCAAAGCCACTGAAGTCAGAGGGGACTCTTTCCATTGGTTTCAATACATGTTGGATCAGGCCCTCAGCAAGCCTCTATAACTGCATGACCTTCTTACTGTTCCTCTCACCTCACCCCTTTCCCTCCTAGTGTGTGTTATCCTCTGCTGTGTACAGTCTAATTAGATTGTAAACTCTTTGCAGAAGGGACTTTGTCACCCAGTGTGTTCATACAGCACTAATACAATGAGGCCAGCAATTCTGACTGAGGTCTGAAAGTGCTACCACAATATGAACGTCAAATAATAAAAGAAAGAGCTGGTCACTGTAAAAATAATTTGTGGTTTCCTGCTAGGGGGAAGAAAACCCCACAGCCATAAAGGTAACCAAATGAAGAACTGATGTACTGAAAAACAGTTTAATATGTAATTAAGAGGACACAAGATAGAAGGCATTATAGACTGACAACAGATATTGTTAAGCAGTTCAGAGTTAGACTTCTGCTGGAGTTGGGAACACTTAATGCACAGAGAAGATCAATATTGCCCTTTGTGCACTTCTTCCCTCCCCCTACTTAATTAAAGAGAAACCTCCATGTCAGCCAAAGTTTAAAAGCACATTCACTTTTAAACATCGGTAGCTATTCTCTTCTGTATGTCACTTATTTCTGAGACAGTTTGCTAGTCAATAGGAACATTCTGTGTGAAACTAGCACACTATGAAGACTACCTCTCCTCTGAAAAATCACAACAGATTGCTACTTGACATTAAGCTGAGAAATCTAACTTCACCATGCACAGGCACAGCAACAGGCCATCTCTTCCTTCGGAACACATTCCCTTTCTCCCCTGTTTTGCCTATGATAGTACGAGTTTCGCGAGGGAATGGAAAACTCACAGGCAAGCTTTCCATTAAGTTTGGAAAGTTTCTTTCAGAAAACAGCTTTTTGATTTCTACCCACAGAGACAGTCATCCACCAGCTTGTAAACTTTCTGAAATACTTAGGGGTTAGATAGTCTCATGCATGGCTGAGATGTAAGACACCTCATCCCTTACCATTCTGAGCCCTCCCAGGTTGTAAGATGTCTGGCCACAGCATGAAGAACAGGTGCTACTTGGCTGATACTTCCCCTTGCAGACAACTGGATTGAGAGGGGAGCAGGGGAGTGAGGAGCCCTGACTCTGTGCTCACCAGCCAAAGAGTAGCTTCCTATCACACAGGGGGAAGAAGCTGCTCCACAAAATGGGGTGAAGCAACTTATTCTCCTCCCTAGAGCATGCAGGGAGTAAGGGAAGAATTAGAGTGTTTCGGATCACAATTCATTCATTGGTCTGCTACTGGGGTGGTGCAGATGTGAGCCACCCTTTATATGGGGCAGACTGGAAAGTCACAATATAGCACTAGGGAAACAGAGGTATAAGAAATGCTTCTTTTGCAAAGCTAGCCTGGCATATTTTAGGAAGCAAGAAAACAGGTTATGTCCAGACAAGTCTCATCACACATTTTATCAGCTTTTATACGTATCCCTCAGGCCCTTTTGTTACACCTTCCTGCTCCTGGTATCTACTATTTTATTAGCACAAGAGACTACTAAAATAGTTCAGGTTTTCAAAACACTGCTCCTATGAATCTCTGTGTGTCAAGAACTTTTATCCACAGATCTCAAAGTGCATTACAAAGGAGAAGGAAATGATCATCTGCATTGATTCCACAATGGGTTACAACACAGGAGTTGCAATAACAGAACAGTCCATCTAGTCTAGCATTCTCTCTATGAGAGTAGCCAGCCCCAGAGGCCTGATCCAAACCCTAGTTAAGATTATGGGAGTCTTTCCACTTCAATGGGCTTTGGATCAGACTCCAAATGATTTAGAGAAAGGGATTAAAAAAAAAAGACAACCTAAATGGACATTTACACAATTGCATGTCTATAGTCTTAATCACTTCCTAACCACAGTTGACTTATGACCTGAAATATAAGGGTTGATAGTCCTTTTGTATTATATTCTTAAGACATAGGCATACTATAGACATGGATATGATAAGTGTATAGATAGATAGATGATAATTCATATAAGGGTTTAATAATTGAACACTACAAAACTCTTTGCCTCTGCAATATCCGGTGATGATGAGTTCCACAGGTTAATTATGGACTGTGTAAAAAAAAAAAAAAGTATCTTTTAATAGGTTTGTTCTTGAATTGTGTGCAAAGCTAAACAGACCAATCTTTTCCATACCATTCATTAATTTACGTGTGATAAATATTACAGATACAATATTAGCTATGTAAAAGCTAGGTTCAGTTTATTATTCTATATCTCCATGTTGCCTCTTATTCACCTCTTTAAACAGAACAGTCCTAACCTTTTCCCTAATTCATCTTTCCTCTGAATTAGAAAATTACGGTACATCTGTTTAGAGAAAGCAAAGAAAAAAATCAAACTATAATTTATACTTTATAAGAGCTCCCTATTGACTCAATTATTAATCCATTTTCTATGTAAGGGATTATGGAAAATGTTGCAGTCTTAAGTCTTTCCCAGACATCACAACATTTTTTTTAAGTTAAAAAACATGGTAACGAATAGAAAATTCTCAGATCTTGTTTTCACACATTTCAGTGAAATCAGACGTATGGAGACAATCAATGAAGTATATTACCACACTTTTTTTCCCCCCCGAAGTACTAGCAAAAGCACAGCTGCTACTTCTAATTATAAAAAAAAAAGTTTCCTTTGATTTTAATGTGTGCCAAATGTATCCAATTTTGTCCTACCTGTGATCTAGTTAAAAACTGGTGCTATAAAATGTTCCACTTTGCATTAGTGTAGCCACAAAACTGTATGGGTCAAATTCTCCAATGAAGTTAGGTCAGGAGATAATTGGGCCCTATAAAGCTAAACTGCTCCTAGCCATGCAGCATAGTGCAATGTATGTCCTCTTCTGTGGCAGGGACCCAAGAGACTTTGGAAGTCTTTTCAGATCCAGAGAGCAACAGTGATTTACTGAGTTCTGAGATTTGTTGCAACAACAACTTCTTGGAAAGTAAACATAGCAGTGTAAAATGGAACTGGAAAGAGCAGAACACTAAGACTTCTCAAGGATAAAGAGTATCTAGTATCGTTAGCTATGAGGGAATTTTGAAAACATTTCTCTGTTTTGTTCCCTGTCTTCAATCTTTCTCAGACATCCAAAAAAGTCGATGTTTTTGTTTTTTATTTAAAAGCCACATGGACCACAACAGTCAGACACTCTCAGATGCTTTTCTGAAGGGAATTTTCTAAGGGAACTGGGTAAAGAGATCTTCACAGTGAAAATGAGTCATGAACATTCAGGAAATTTTGTAGCAAAAACGTATGTATATTTAAGTTTTAGTTGGCATTGTTTCCCCCATTTGGCCTGTGATCTCTGCCCTTTCCTCCACTGAGAAAAATGCATGGGACTGGCATTATCTGCCCAACTTTGCCCCTAACCTGTGCAAGGGTGTCTAAGAGGAAAGTTCAACCAGTTCTTAAAGGGGGACACTATCCCCGAATGCGTTCATGTCTCTGAACTATTTGCAGGAAAGTTCATCTGCTGTTGTCCGCATCTATTTAAACTCCATTGCATCCTCCCACCCTCCTTCTCTTTAGCTTGGGGTCTTTAGGTCTCCCCCTTGTCTTGATGTTGGCCTGGGTGCTGGTTAGCCTCTGTCCAGATTTCCAAAGAAGTTTCTTTTAGGTTTTAAAGTGTGTCCAGGCGGGAAAACTTCAGAGTCCCTGCTCCCAAAGGAGCCTGGTGCAAACGCGGGGTGTCTGGGGAGGGGGAAAGGGTTAAGGGGACAGTACTGACCGGCAGTGGGCACATCGGGAACCAGCTTGAGGGGGCCGATCTGCCGGATCTGAAACGCCGTCCGCACTTCGTGGCAGCTGGGAGACTTGACTGCAGAGACCCCGCCGCACAGCCCAGTAGCTGCCGCCGCCGCAGCTAGCAGCAAGAACCCGAAACGCTGCCGGCTCAAGACCCCAGGGCTCCTGTCACCGGCCATTTCCACATTCCCCCCGGGGGCAGAGCCAAGCCAGGGACCGCAGCACGCCCCCCGCTAATCAGTGCCCAGGAGCGGGACCGGCCCCTGGGCGAAGTTGCGAGCTGCAGGAGACTGGGGGGGGGGGGTGCGGGGGGGCAGGTCTTAATCCGCTCGGCACCGAGAGCTGCAGCCTCCGAACGCCGGCACCAGCTGAGCAGCCTCGCAGGTCGGATCCCCGCAGCCAGCTGAGCTCGCGTTCCTGCCGGGCTGCCTTCAGGGAGGGCCCTGGGCGCTCTTGCTGTTGCCGCCTAGCCCCGCTCGCTAGGCAGGGTCTGGGAGGGGAGCAGCCGATCTGCTCATTGGCTTGTGCTATAATTAGACTAAAAAAAAAAACTGGAGGGAGTCTCCTTTAAAGCCGCACTGTCTGCAGCTAGTGGGCAAGCTCGCCGCCAGCCCAGCCCGCTCGCTGTGTTAGCCACCGCGGGGAGCCCTCGCTAAGCGTGCATAATGGGCCGCTGGGCGACTCGAGACTGAGCGACACGCCCTGCCCTGCAGTTGGCTCAGGTCTATCAGAAAGCCAGGGTACCCAAACGCGGGCCACGGGGAGAGAAAGCACTAGAGAGGAACTCCTGCCCCACTGAAATCCAAGGGAGATCTGCTGGGCTTCAGTGCGGCTAGGATCCCACTCCCGGGGCTTTCCTGCCTGGGCAGAATCTGTGCGAAACAGACGCCACCAAACCCAACAGCAGGAGAAAGGAAACGCACTCGGGCCAGGCTTGTAAAGCCCTCTGTACACTGGGTAGAGTTTCAGATACCACAGGATTAAGGAGCGCTTTGGCAAGGCAGCCTGGACCTGTGTAAGGCATGGGACTTTGAGTAAGGAGAGGGAACCCACGTGTCCTGGCGCTGCCACTGACTTCCTGGGTGGCCCTCAGTCAGCCACTTCAGCGCTTTCTGCCTCAGCTTCCAGAATTACCATAGTCGACTTGAAACGTAAAATCTGTGCCAAGCACTCTGACATCCTCAGCTGGAAGGAACTCTGAAAAAAACCCCAAAATATTTAGCATTGTTTATGTATGAGTTTTGCTGGATCCCATGCAAAATGAATGGCACTCAAATACAAGGACAGGGTCATATAACCATCTAGATAGCTCCACTTAAAACCAGGTCAAAGTCTGACTCCTACTGAGTTCCACTGTAATTTAGAGTTCAGGGGGGACACAAATCTCTACCTGAACAAAAAAAGGGAGGGGGCGGGGGGAGGCTTTCTGGTCTTCAGAGTCACTGGAACTTTTAAAAAAGTTTTGCAAAGTGATACATGGAATAACATCTGACAGTCCCTGTGGTTTATAAAACCCCAGCTACACAGGTATCAGGGACCTTTGAGTAGGATCAATTTACAGCAGGGTTTCCAGAGGGGGGAATCCATACTAAAAGGGACAAGTTACCCAGGGGAAAGTAATGCCTGGTTCCCAAGGAAAATAGATGTAAAGATGAGGGAGGAAATCATGTTTAATGACATCACTAGATTTAACAACAACAACAAAAACCTAAGCACAGTGTGCTGGAAAAATCCAGCAGGTTTGCTTGTTTTATATTCCAAAAATCCATATGGAGGACATTGAATTCCAAAGGAGAGCCTCAGGAAACAGTTTATAATAATGACCAATAGACACTATTGTAAACAGGAGTACCTTTAATTGCACACCCAGGAAATCCATACATTTCTCTCTACTGCTAATAGTTCTTGCAATAACTCAGTAGCAATTAAATTCTGTTGCAATTATATAGTTTGTCAAGCAAAACAACATTGAGAATACATTGCAAACTCACTTGGTGCTTTAGATGATTCCTGAAGGCATTAAAAACACATAAGCCAATAAATCTGCTTGCAAATGTATCAAGTGTCAGGAAGGGCTCTGCCTGCTAAAGGTACATATCCATTTATAAATTCTTTATACCAGAGTTTACATGCTGACAGTGTTACCAAAATAAGCAATTTTTCTCTTTGGGGTCCTGATCCCATATTACCTACATAGGCAGAAAACTTCCATTCCCTGTGGGAATTTTGCCAGTGTATCAAATATAGGATTGGTCCTACTGGAGTGAATCCAGAGTAACTATTGACTTCAGTGGAATTAGATCATTGTAAATATGGAGTAATTGAGATCAGAATCTGGCCCTCTGTGTTTAGAAACTTGCTATTCACCAGACACGCTGAGAAAGATTCTGTGTGTTTCTGAAGAGCTGCACTACCAAAGATGCAACCCAGGTGCAGTGAGAAGGTGGCTACTGTGTGAAAGAGACCCTAGCATAAGTCAGAGAAGCCCTAGCCAAGCATTATAGCTACTCCCCTTCTCACCACCTAGTCTGGGTCTTGTAAGGTGTAAGGCATAGACCCTGTGTTACCCCTTTGCTGCTCCTGGGCTGGGGGACTTTCCCCCAGCCCCTTGTGGCCCCTATGCCCCACTGGAAAGTATTGGGGCTGTACATTTCCATACATGACTTCTCTGTACCTGGGACCCTAGTGTGCGGTAGCAAGTTCCACTGCCATTGAGGTTTTCTGCAGGCTTTGCTCAGGTTGCAAGAGTTGCCCCATAGTGTTCTGCACCCATGAAAATATGTTGGTATTCCCAAAGCATTAAAAAAAAAAAAGTCAGTAAATTGAGCTAATTTGCATGACCATGCATGCAGAGCATGTTATAAACTAGAAGAGCTAGCTTTGTTTGAGGCCATTATATTTGATTTTTTTAAAATTACTTGTAACTCTCAATAAGCTTTTAATGCTCTGAAGGAACAATAGAGGAGCCCACCTGTAGCTAATTTAACCTTTATAAATTCCCATAGGTGGTAATGAAAGACTGAGCAGCTTAATACTGTAGATCAGTTGTCTTTGTTATATTTCAAAGGTGAGGAGTGCAGATCCTCTGAGTTTTTTGCTTTATCAACTTTTTCCATCAAGTCAGTTATAGATTAATTCTTACCACTTTTGTAAAGTAAAATCCAATTTGATTTAAAACACTTATCATGCAAACTAAAATCAAGTAAGAGAAAGAATGGCTCAACCACTTAAATGACCCCAGCCATATTACAAAAGCATGGGTTACCCCTCAGTTCTGAGTTCCAATTATTATTTATTTGAATTGTAGTAGCTCTAAGAGGCCCCAGTTGGGGATCGGGACCTCATATTACGAAAAGAATTTGCAATCTAAGGCCCCAGGGCTGTAAATACATATGCACATGCTTAATTTTAACATGGGAGTAGTTCCATTGCCTTCAATGTAATTGCTCTCATGCTTAAATGCTTGCAGGATCGGGGCCTAGATATAAGATGAGAGACAACAGGTGCATACAAAAAACAGCAGAGCAGGAAGTAACAGTGAAATAATTATTAGCATAATAACCTGAGGTCACAGAATCCCATCCACATGGTTATCATCAAGTGTGTGGGTTTATGAACCCAAGGAAAAAGCAATGAGTTAACCACAGTTACATTTTGTTTAACTTTGGGACTGATCCCTAGAAACCTTATTCAGGCAATGTTCACATTGATTTCAATGGGAGTTCTTCCAGAAAAATAAGATGACAGAATGATGGATCTGTCCAATAATTTACTTGACAAATAACAGCATTATTTGCCATATACATACTCTATGAATAGTGTCTGATCATTTCTATTTAAGGCCCTGAGGCATCTAATTCCATGGAATTTTTGCCATTGTCTTCAAAGGGGGTCAGTGACAGAAATGACTAACCCTTTTCTAATGTGGCTGTTAATCAAAATGCCATATATTCATATGCTGAGACTGTTTTATGGTCTTTTTCTGGGTGTGTCAAATAGCTTGGTCTAGATATATATTTTCTAAACATGTTCTCATTTTGTTATAATAAAGCCATCCCATCATAACATTACTATTAAACCACAAAAAATACTGTTAAGAGCCTGAATTACACACATAAAGACAAAGAAAATTCAGAGCTGGAGTTACAACTATATGTCGTCTGGGTTATTACAGTACATAAATTATGAAAAAACATTCAAGTTTCTGACAGCTTTGTAATAACTAAGCAGGAGAAGGTGAATTAAAGATGGTCTATTTGGATATATATATTTAGTTTTACATCTGAATTTCTATTCTTTGCAGATAAAAACAGTCCACCCCACACACATTATATGAATGTAACTTTTTGCCACTGATTTAAATTGTATTTTTAAACAATAAAATAGTTTAAATTGTATGACGATTTTAATAGTAGATGAACATTTCCTAGACAATTTTTAGACCTCGTAGACCATCATTAGGTTAACTGTTTGAAGACATATAACTATGTAATTGACAAATTGAAAACAAATATACAGTGCCATTAGTCTATGTACATACTAGTCAGATGGTGATAATCACCAGCATTAATAAATACTATCATATAATATGCGCTGATATATTTTAATGTTTGCTCTCATTTACACTGATGCAGCGCCATTAAAGTCACTGAATTGATGTCAGTGGAACAGCCAGCATTATATGCTCCATGTGATATTAGTTTGGTTGATAGTCTAACAATAAGTCTCAATGAGTGTTTACAACAATAGTCTATCATATTGCTGCTTAAATACTGAAGTGATTGATGCCTTACAAATCATAGGTTTGACTCTGCAAATTGCTAATCTTTCCTGTGAGATGCTGAGGAACCTCAGTTCTCACTGACTCTGAGGGTGGACTGAGGGTGCTCAACACTTCAGGATAGAGCCCAAATAACTTAGGTTCTGATCCAGCAAAGCATTTAAGCACGTGCTTACCTTTGAGCACAGGAGTAGTGACACTGCCTCACCGGGAGTATTCAGGTGCTTAAAGCTAGGTGCTTTTCTGGATTAGAGCCAGATAATATAAACAGATATTTAACCAAGCAATTTACATGACATTCTGTCACTCTGCAGCCTTTTACTTGGAACCATCACAATCCACCTTGTCAATGGGTATTCTTGTTTTTTGTGTAATGCATATTTACTAAGTTAACCACAAAGCATTACAGCATAGAGTATCAGATCAACCCTTAGTACAAAGAACAGCAATATGAATATATGAAAACAGTCCACTCTGGCCCTGATCCTAAATTGCCTGAGCATCTAATATGACTAGTGATCTC